AGCATATTCTTACCTGATTACCATTGTATGTGACTGTCTTCCTTTCTCGCTGCTCTTAGGATTTTCTTTTTCCTCAAATTTGGATAGTTTAACAATTATATATCTTGGTGAGTTTATTCCTGGGGTTTAGTTCTACTTGGTGTCCTCTCTGCTTCCTGTATGAGTGACAGATCCTCATTCATTAGGGTGGGGAAGTTTTCTTCCAGAAATCCCCTTGTTAGTTTAGCTATTGGTTTCTTTGCTGTGTCTTGTTCTGGTAGGCCAATAATTCACTGTCCCTCTTCATAATATCAGACATTGATCTCATTTTCTTCTGACTCCTTTATTATCTTTATCATTCGCTGAGGTCTGCCTGATTATCTTTGAGATCAGATATGGTTCTAAGCCTCCTCTAGTCTGTTTGTGAGATCCGTGATCTTGTGTGCACCTTCTTTTATTTCATCCGTTAGCTCCGTATTTCCCTTTGGTGCACTTCATCCCCTCTACCATTGCATCCTTAGTCTGTGTAGCTTCCCTCATCTCCTGCATTACTCCAAGCAGCCTTCTGAAAACTTCTTTTTGTAGAAGATCCGTCAGATTCTTCTGAGTGCTGTTAGCTCTGCTGTTGTGGTTCGTCTTGTTTTCTTGTTGGGAGTGAGGTGGTATGCTATTGTTTGTTATGATTTCGAAGATCTGGGTGACATATTTCTGGGAGAGCAAGAGGTCCTGCGTTCTGTGACTGGCCACGGTGTTTTCAAGGGCTGCCTGTGGCCTACTATGGAGGTGGGTCAGGCTGCTATGTGGGCAGGTGCCACAGTGACTCAGTGGTCAACAGCATGAGAGGTTGTGAGCACCAGTGGGGACAGCTCTGGGGAACTCAATTTGACTGCTGGATAGTTCCCAGTACGGCAGTAGTGATGTAGGGGGTCAATGGGGTCTAAGGTGGTGTGACCATTATGAGCTGGGGAGCTTCCAGAACTTGGTCGCTGGTCTCCCGGATTCCAAATCTAGGCTAGATTTGGGGGAAGGATGCCCTCTGGGCCAGGGATGTACTCTCCACTGTTCCACTCGCCGTGTGGATGGGGAGGGGGCAGCTATAATCCCCGAGCTACGATATGCCCAGGCAGCAACTATCTGAGGCTGTGGGGGCTGGATGGTGTGCGGCGGGCCTGCATGGCCCATCTACGTCTCTACTTTCCCATAGCTCAGGCTGAGGCAGTGTGCGGTGCAGTGCACTGGGCTGGGAGGCATGGGGGCTCTTTTGGCTGTAATTTTTATGGAAGCAGGTTGCCAGGCCTATCTTCCACAGCTCCATTGGGTGAGTTTATAAACTGCCAAACTTTAAATTCAACTCACTACCATCAAGTCAATTCTGGCCCTCATAGCATCTTAGTAATACATTGTGCTGCAAACTAAAAGGCCAGTTCAAAACTGCCAGCCTTTCCCCAGAAAAAAGGACTTTTTACACTTGTAAACAGTTTCAGAAACTCATAGGGTGCATTTTTACTATCCTATGGGTCACTATGAACTTGATTAGTCAGGTGTAAACCTAGTGACCTATTTCATTCCAAGAGGCAGGCCAAACATCCCATAGCCCATGTCTGAGAATGCCTCTATGCAGAAGTTGATTTGGACTCAGTGACCCTATAGTGTAGAGTACAACTATTGCCCCTCTGGATTTGAGGCTGTAAATCTTTACAGGAGTAGAGTCTCATTTCTCCCAGAGAAGCTAGTGGTCTTGAACTGCTGACCTTATGGTTAGCAACCCAATATTTAATCCTCTATGCCACCAGGGTTCCTTATATACAATAGGGATCCTAAAGGCCCCAGAGGGAGCCCCTGCTTAATGTGTTCTTACTGCCCCAAATCCATCATTTGGAGAAGTGTAAAGTAGGGAGGCCTTTCCCTCAGCAATAATCAATGAAACACACCAAAATTAAGGTCCTTCTGAACGTTTTCACTGAGTTCATGTTCACAGGCTGAGTTCCTAGAAAAATGGCATCTACGGGAAGTGAAAACCAAATTTGGTTATTTTCAAATATCAAGTTTTTTCTACTGTCTTTGGCAGCACTATGATCTGAGATTTGCCTCGGATAACTTTCTCCAACTCCAAAAACTCACTGCCATCAAGCTGAGTCAGACTCAACTCTAAATTTCTGAGGCTATGAATCTTTACAGTGCCATAGCCTCATCTTTCTCCTGAAGACCAGCTAGTGGGTTTGAACTGCCAACCTTGTGTTTAGCAGTCCCGCCAGCAGGGGATAATTGTGTAATGGGTGAGAATTGCCTTGTTTTGAAACAATAGTGGGAGTGAAGCTGATGCTCAAGAGAATTTAGTGGTTATCTGTTGAGTTACTGCTTAGTTGGCCTCAACTCATGGTGACTTTATGTATTACAGAACAAGCAGCTGCCTCTAGGGTCATATTCATTATTAGATCCTTGATCCCTTGCTGCAGCTATTGCATAGCAACTTTGAATCCAGGGGATTCATCTTCCAGCACTATATTGGACAATAGTCTGCTGTACATTATAAGGTTTTCCACTGGCTAGTTTTAAAAAGTAGATCACCAGTAGGTTAACTCTTCAGATTAATTTAAAATGTGAGCACAGCAGACATTCTGCCTAGGATCTAGTTCCTTCTGGGGTCCTGAAGGAACCACCACCCCATGAGACAGCTCTAGCTCCCAAAAACATCCACCCAGGTATGAACATTCCTCTATGGCTGATGTAAGCAAAAAATCAAGGAAGAAAATTTCTGGATTTTTTACTTAAAAATAGTATAGGAGGGGGTAATCTCCCCCCAAATCTATGTCTTTAAATTGTTTTACAAAACAACCTAGTCACCTTCAAAATACTCTCCATTACACTTAATACATTTGTCAAATCTGCGATTCCATTCTTGGAAACATTTTTCAAACTCATCTTTTCGGATGGCTAACACCCTTCGCTTGTTTTTTTCTTCATCTTGACTTAGGTCATCAAATCGTCTTTTCATGTCCCTCTGCATTCATGGAACCAAAAAGTAGCATGGAGCAAGGTTAGTTTAAGTCAGGTGTGTGCGGCAAGAGAGGCATGCTGTTTTTTGCCAAAAACTTGTGTATTGAGATGGCTGTGTGAGCAGATGCATTGTGGTGGCAAAACCAGTCCCATCTGCCACAAATTAACCTTTTTTGTCACACTGTTACACAATCATTTCAGAACCTCGAAATAGAAAGCTTGATTAACAGTCTGACCTGGTGGAACAAACTGCAAATGCACTCCATTCAAGAAATTGACAAGACACCCAGAACGAGGTTTGTCATCACGTTTTTTGAAATAAGAAAACCACTTATACACTCTTCCCCATAGTGCTGTACGTGCAAGCTGTGTTCAACATCCAGTTTTTGTGGCATTTTTCCTGAGCAGTAAACAAAATTTCACTGCTGCAAGCTGTTCTCTTAAATTGGTCATCATACACACAAAAAAGTTTCAAGTGAAACTGCTTTCACAAAAAAATTCAGCGACCAGAGAACCTTCCCTGGCATGCCACTGGGTAAACTAACTCGTAGAATGCTGATCGATACTGGTCTCGTGAGTAAAATGTGTTCTACGAAAATTCTGTCCAGTGGAGTTTTCCCTCTTTGGGGGGGTACCCACTTATAGATGAGGGCAAGATCATTTATCTCTATTATTTTTTAATATTGGAAGTTAAAATGCAAATTTTTTTCTTCTGTTACAATTTTATTATTGGGACTTAATACATATCATTCCATAGTTCAATAACATCAAGCAGTATTGTACAATTGCTACGTTTTCAAACATTCTTTTCCTTCATGTACTCCTAAATACGATCTCCCTTTTACTTCCACCCCCTATTTGTTGCCCCTTTATCTGTAAATAGCATCCAGCCATGAAGGGATTCCTTAAAAGTGAATAAACCAGGTGCTGTGATATGGAGTTAGCCTACATTGGCCCCAAATCCCTCTCTCAACAGGGCTTTAAAAAATTAGTACCAGGGGCTAATCAAAGACAATACTAATTGTAGATTTTTATGCCCCAGGGGGATGATTCATAAGACTCTTTACCATAAATAAGGAGGTTTTGAAAGAGAACCAAAGACAGATAAAAAGCAAGAAACAGACCCAGGAATCTATTTTGGGCTCGCACTAAATTCTAGCTCCAACTTAACAATTAGTTCTTACATCATGGCCCCGTCAATGCTTGCCCTCAAGAAAGCAACACAGAAGACATGAGTGCTATAGCTAAATCTGGCCAAGAATTCAGATGGTGTCCAGTTTTCAGACAGTTTAAATTATCTTTAATTTGTTAAGGCTTCCCTGGACATGCTATTTCCATATCTGTGGCCACCTCCTGGTCAGAAGTTGAATGTTAACATTGTAGTGTTCACTCAGTAGATATACATAAATACACACACGGTGGTTCTTGTTGCTTTAAAAAAATGTCAAAACAAAAAGATCTCCTGAAGGAGCAATTGACAAACATAGATTTGTTATTTCTTTTAAAATATGGTAGTACCCCTTAGAACAGTCCAAAATTGTTATGCAATGACTGATATAAAATAAGTCAAAAGTAAACTAGAATTTGAAATTCTGGGAATATTTTCTTTCAGACATACAACCAGCTAATTATTATAAATACCAATTACTAACCAAAACACTGTAGTCAGTACAATCACATCCCATCAAGTCAATTCTGCCTCACGGCAGCCCCGCATTACAGTGGAGCTGCACTCTAGTTTCCCACAGCTGTGATCTTTCAGATGTAAACTGCCAGGCCTTTCTGAACCAGTGAGAAACAGGGTATGGAACACACCGCTTGCTTCAGTTAGAAATACTTTGTCGGTCAATTTATCACCAACATCTAACAATTTATTTGGGTAAATACATTAAGAAATTGTAAATTATACTCTGAAAGTGAAGTATATTTTCAGGGAAGCAGCTAATTTGTATATGTAAGGCCGTGGTTTTATTGCATTTTTATAAATTTACATTTTAAAAGATATTGACAGACACACAAATAAATGAATGTTCTTATTTTTGTTTATTTTACAATCAGTATGCCATTGTTTACCATTATGGCCGTAAATTTTCATTCTGTCCAACAGGCTTCAAAGAATAGTTTATTACATGCCTTAATAAAACACTTAAAATATTTACAAATTCAAAATAGATGTTTCATAACTGAAGAAAAGTTTACCTGAGAATTCACTGTAACATTGCCTTTGTTTGATTGTTGTATTTCCCCAAGTTGTTAAGTGGCTGAGGGACCACATGCAACCTGCATCGTCATCAACTGCATTAAATATATTTCCTTATTTGTAATTGTGTTAAACTGTAGTCAATCATAAAATTCACACAGAACCAAGAGTATATCCAAAATTTTTTGAATGTAACAAATGAACAAATCATGTGCTTATTATAGCTATAGAATTAAAATAAGGGGTGGTGGTGGAGAGATTTTAAAAGGTAATGTTATTTTACTGAGTAAAGACATAATACATCTTTTACAAAATTATCAAACACTGAGAAAGCCAGTTCATAAAATAGGAACAATGATCATGTAAATATGCAATGTACAAAGTAAAACCAGCCTTTTCAAACTCCTGCATGAAGGAAAAGGTATACACTGTATACACACTATATCCTGTCAATTGTCTTCAGCAACCTCTAAAAACAAAACAACTTGAACAGATTTTCTTACAAAAACTTCTCTAAAAGTCAATGTTAAAATAGGCATACATGAGTGATGCTATGCGATGTAGAAAACTTCCTCATCTTATGGCCAGACAGACAGATAAAATCCTCTTTACCTCTCAGTTCATCTGTACTATAACTTGTAAAATCATGTGGGTATGAGGTAGTATAGTTACTTGTATTCTATGCTGGCTATAAAAGTAATGCTATTGTTTTACGAGAAATTACAGTTGGCCAATAATCAGAATACCATTAAAATAAATCCATAATGCTACACTGCTTTTATGTAGAGAGAAACTTAAACCAAGTGTCGTGAAAGTCATATTTAATCTCTGGAGACAACTTGATTTTATTGTAAAATAGTAAACCTTTCAAAGCAGATATTTACAGAAGCAATGAAAGCAGAACATGTGACACTGGTGCATACACAAACTGACAAGACAAGCAGTTGAGTGTACACTGAGGTAGAAAATCAAGGATTCCATTGGCTTGTCTAAGAGTTTACCATTTTGTAAACCAGCAACATTTTTATATTATGTTGTGAAGTTGAAAAACTAAAATGACAAGTATCAAAGAAATGGCTACATGGGAACATTTCCATACAATTCTTCTGGAGTATGGAATACATCATCACAGAATTATCAATGTCCCTGACAAATGCTTGAGTGTATTTATAAAAGCGTGTAAAAAATAAACAAGCCCAACTAATTTCCTCTCATTAACAACTAAGGCTATAATAGAAATAATATACAAATCACTGAAAAATCTCTCTCTCTCTCTCTCTCACACACACACACACACACACACACACACACACACACACTATCAAAAGAGGGTAACATATGACTGATTACTCTGAAGTCTTAAGCCTGGTCCCCATGTCCCCATGCGGTAAATGTCCACTTGCTTCACATTCATTCATTCCTGGGGACTCTTGTCCCCCACGGTATTTACACAGATCCTGTTTTAGACTCAGGGTGTGACTCATAAACTGTGTATTTCACATACCTGAAATGAAGTCCTTTCTAACCCACATACTATCAACTATTTCTCTGTCACCTTTAAAACTGGGTTCTAAAATGTTTCTGTGAATGTATGCGTTTAAAAAAAAGTACTGACAGGGTCCATAAATTCCATTGATTTTCAAACAGATGCACATCACCAAAATGGATGAGATCCATTGCAAAATGTTATCAGATAGGGCCTCAGATGACAAAGACCACACTTAATAACACAAACAGGTAAACCCAAAGAGTGATTTTAAAATGCTCAAGTCAAAATGACAGTTGTGCCTTCAAATACTTCATCAGATTTGAAGAGGAGAGAAAGGATTAAATCTGGTTTCCAAATTCAAACCCACGATAGAACAAAATCTACTTTTCCTTGAGTTTCATCCTATTTCAGAAACCTACATGCTTACTGTAGATACATTTTTATGTTTCTCACAGAAAACCACAGGATTTCAAAAATAAGATGGAAAATCATTACCTGCCACTCCTAATATATATAAGTACTTCCCACTGCCCCACTGTCCCGTTTCCTTGCACAGTGGCATATGGTGGGAAGGTGATCAGCCTGTGTTTCAGTAAGCATTCCTGGATTCTAAGGAAGCTAAGCTAACACACAGTCCATTCATTCGTTTACTCATGGCACTGTATCCTGAGTCCAACTTCTTCCAATGACACAAGAATGTCAGGAGTGGGCTCAGATGTGGTGAAAGACTGAAAAGACAAATGAGATAATGATACTGTTTTATGTTGACAGAATTTCTGTAATCAATATTGGCAACCCGTTTACTTAACACTCCCAATGTAGCCAAGTGTCACAATAAAGTCCAAACCACCCCTGGTTTTAGTAGGAGTTAAGGAGCCAAGTCCTAGAATTCAGGCAAGTTGAAAACTCACTGCCATTGAGCCAACTCTGACCCACAGCAACCGGGCAGGACAGAGGAGAACTGTTCCTGTCCGTTTCCAGGATGAAAATCTTCACCAGTTTCTCTGGAGGAGCAACTCCTATCATTGCTGCTTGGGAAGAAGAATGGGGAGGACCTCTTTTATTCGGAATCCTACAAAAAGGTCTAGCCTAGTTATTCAACTTTCGGAGACTGTTTCTTTGGAACGAACTGTCTGCAGATATTTCACTTTGTTGTTTAATATGTGGTGGTTCTCATGCTCATGTTTATTTTGAATACTGAGAAGAGTTATTCCTAAATAGGTGTTATTCTATGAAACATGATTTTAAAAGATCTATTGCATTTTCTCATGGGATTTTTAAGTATCCAAGAGGTAAAACATTCCTGTATCTCTTGTGGAAGTCAGGGTTGACTTATGAGGAATTAAACAACAACAACAAGAACAACACATATTACTAAGAGACAGGTAGCTGTATTAGGCTAAGAAGACAAAGCCAAAACTTCAGTAGAAAATCAGGTGGTTTAAAGGAAGGGAATGCAAATGGCAATTATGCATCAGTAGTACACTTATCAGTCATCTGCTGACAGAAATCTGAGATGCCTCCGCTCTGACCACACTGTTCCACAAGCTCTGCATGCTCAGAAGCCGCGGGGGCTGCCTCATGTGACTCCTGGCCCCGCTCACAGCCAGGCTCCTTGCTTTCTCTCACACTGGCATAGCGAGCACTTTGCTCACTGGCAGGCAGGATGGCTGGAGGTAAGTTAAAAATTGATGGTAAGGCTAATTCGCCCGCAGAAGTACTTTTTCCTTTGTCAGAAATTAAAAAGGAAAGTGGGCAATCCGAGGATGAATACTTGGCGAGGATCTGAATTTGTTCTTGACTCAGAGCTGCTTCTTTACAGACTTGCTGGCAAAGACCGGTTAGGTTCTGTTTGGTCTCTCCTAGAGTTGACAAAATGTGATCTCTCTCCTTCAACAAGCTCTCCTTTTCATTTTGCTGTGAAGAGAACAAAAAGAACACACTGACTTGTGTTTATTAGACGAGTACCCTAACAGCCCAAGGGGAGCAAACATTCACACCCACACAGCATCTTCTTTTCATATAACATTAAGTGGAAGTTTCCTTTTCAACTCTATTTAAATATGTAAATATCAAGGGACACACCATTCATTCAAAACCACTGGTGCTAGATTTACCTTGGAATTCAGATATTTTCAGATGTTAATAAGATTATATGACTGCCTGTCTAATTCCCCACCCAGCCTGGTCTAAGGTGGCACCCCATAGTCAAGCATCTTAACTTTGCTCTAGGAACATTAAAATAGTATGCAATGCCTGATGTAAGCTAATGATTCTAATAGCCTATGTCAGTCGGGATCAGGTTTTGTGGCCAAGAGAGTATGCAACAAACTCTGGTTTTCAGGGTTTAATGGATTTGGAGACTACAGATAAAGGAATTCATTAGCATTTTTGATAGAATGAGGCAGGAAAAAGTCCTCTTAGACAATAAAGTGAACATAGCTTACAAAAACAAAACAACTATCCTGAGAATTCACTTTATGTCTGATATTGTGCTAGACATTTACAAATAGACAATCTGTTATGCAATTCAACACAGTTGATTTAAGTGATATTACACCCATTGTTTAAAATGTGATTTAAAGTTTAGCATTCCCGAATCAGGACGTGTGCAACTGATGGGTTCAGTTACTGAAGTGAGTGTGGAAGGTTTTTTAAGGGATTGGGGTTTATTAAGTATATAACTTTAGTAAGTATGAGCCACACAAAATGGTTAGCTTACTTATTTATAACAAAAAACTAGCAGGTGCAGCCCTGAATGTGTGAATAAATAATTCCATACAGTAAACACTCCCATATGCTCCCACAAGGCAGGCAGTTCTCAACACTTAGCTTATTTCTCCATTTTATTCTTCAAAAAAAAGAAAAGAAAAAACCCTGAATTTATCTACTTATTTTTTAAAAACTTGAATTTATTAAGAAAGCACAGTTTAGTACCTGGTACCTAAATAAAAATAATTCAATTTTGTCATTTCACTGTTATTAAAGATACTTCAATACTCTCTCTACCTGTATCATGCCACCTCCGCCTGTATCCTCCAGATTTTTATGAAGCAACTATATAAGTCACAATGTATTTTGAATCTACAAAAATGAGTAAAATTGGTGCTTTGGTGCTACATGCTCTGACAACAAAACAATGTTATATCCGACCTACATTTTTAACAGTGTACAGTAATTGTCAAAATATAAGAAAAAAATGAAAGATTCTAAATATATAACTCACTCAACACAAGAGTTTGGTACTGCAATGGCCAAATAAAAGTAACCATAGACTGACTGCTGTTAGCTGCTGAATCAGTTCGATTCAGACTCATGACAGCCCCATGTGTGCACGAGTGGAGCCGCTCTAGAGGGCTTTCCAGGCTGTCACCAGACCTGACCTGTCTTACGAGGCGTTTCTAGGTGGGTGCTTAATTGTTTGTGCCACCAAGGGACTTTAACTAATGGCCTTTACTAACATGAATAAAGATTTTTTACTTCACTCATAAAAAAAGGTGTTGAAAAGCTACACGAGATATCAATTCTTACCTATCAGGCTAAAAACTGAAAAAGCTGACAATACACTGTGGAAAACATACATACCCTGCTGGTAGGCAGGCACAATGATACAACTCCTCTATGGAGGGGAATTTATAAACCATTAAATATGTATTTATCCTTATTCCAATGATCTTGCTTAATATGAAAAAAAAAACAATAGCATCCCAAATGTCCCTGAATATGAGATTGGTTGGATAAATTGTGCTGCAGCTAAAACTAGGGCTTTAAAAAAAATGTAAAAAAAAAAAAATGAAGGCTTGTCTGAACTGGTAAGATTACTTCCTAGAAGCTAGTCCTTAGATGAAACAAGTCCAGAACTTTATATAGAAAATGATAACACAACAGCACTGAGAGAAAAATAGACCCAAATAAAATCTTAATCTGCCTTTAAAAACAAAAGTAGGAAAAAGAAAGCAAAACATAAGGAGGAGCACAAAGCTAAACAATCAGAAACCAGAAAAACAACGGTTGCCCACAGAAGGTAGCTATGAATTCCTAACAATTTAAATTATAAGTAAAGGGATGGAACCCACATTTCGGTGCATATAGATTTTAAAATACAATTTTAACTTTTGGAACATGGAAGCATTGCATATTCAAAAACTGGACTTAAACTTTTAAAATGCAAATAGAAAATCCTTGTGATAACTATGAGTAGAAATTAATTACATATTAAATGGCAAAATATAGACTACTTAAAGACCTTAAAAATTTTTAATGTCAGATACTGGGGACACACAGCAGGGAGTAAGTGTGGTCTGAACACCCCACCCCCACCCCCCACCCACCCTGCAGCGGGGCACACCAAGAGGGAACATAACAGATCAGCAATGGGAGCAAAGTAAAACCACAAAAGTCCCTAAACAGCCCCCAAAATGGACTTCAGGCTAGAAGGGGCAGTTCCCAAAATTCCCCCAGGACCAGTGTGTAGATAGTTATAAAGGTCAGCAGACAGAACTGGAATTATGCATGTTTTTGTTGTTGTTGCTGCTGTTGTGTGTGTGTGTGTGTGTGTGTGTTCTCAATCGTTTGTTTGGTCTATGTCATTGTTGATATGCCTACTTAATAAGACAGGCATGGGAAGCAAGCTCGAGGAGAAAGCAATGGGGCCAATGGTCCCGGGGGGACTTGAGGGGAGCAGGGGCGGGGGCGGGGTGCAGTGAGCAAACAGCGCCATAGACAGAGGAACAACTATAGAATAATATAACAAGGAGGATATAGAGATCCTGGGAGTGCTGGTGCAATAGTAACCTAGCTGAGAGGAAGTACTATGAGGCAGAAGAAGGGTGAGCATGGTGGTGGGACAGGAGGAAAGTAAAAGGAAACAGGAAAGATCTAGGAAGCAAAGCTATGGATAGAGTTATAAGCATAGGTGTGTCCATATGTAAATACATTAATCTATAAAAAAAGAGGTATTGGCCTATGTACATGTTTATATGGCAATACACTGAGGTAGTGGACGGACTTTGGGCCTCTGCTCATACCCTCCTCTTCAATACAAGAACACGTTGTTCTAACAAATTGGCAATCTGAGATGCTCACTCTCCCAACACAATTGCTGAAGACAAAATGGGTGCACACACAAATGTGGTGAAGAAGGCAGATGGTGCCCGGCTATTAAGAGATAGAGTGTCTTTGTCTTGTTTTTGTGCATGTTATTATCTCCGTAGGTCTGTCTAAATAAGATAGGCTGGATGAACAATCTGGAGAAAACAACAGGACCGACAGTTCTGGGGGGACATGGGAGAGGGGGAGGT